TCGAAACTATTGCATTGCTGATTTCATTGGTAACTCTTTCAAGAGGTAATCCTACGCAATTAAGGTCGTTCTGTTTAATTTGGCTAATTTTATTTGTTTCATGCGGATGATATGAATACATGATATTCAATAGGTATTCAATGGTTTACTCGAGAACCTCCACGTGTGCTCTACGTGTCCAGTGGAGGTACAGCGAGACTTGTGTGGGATTACAATGTCAGAAATAGAACTGTAATGTTTGATCCATATTCACCAGAATGGGCTCTGTATAATACAATTGGATTTAGAATAGTTATAGGCGTCGAGGATGSTTACAATGGATGGAAGTTCGTTATTCTCAAAAGCTGCCCCACAAGACTGAGTGGTCGAGTCAGTAAAGAGTCCACAGCTACTCTTGTCATCTCTAATGTCACAAAAGCTGATGAACGGCTATATGAATGCAGTCTGCTGTTATTAGTGGGATCACCAATAAGAAGTAAAGTACAACTGGTTGTTACAGGTAAGGTATACATCCTTTGGTTTATACCAAAACGTTAAACGCTAAACAAATGGGTGACAAACCATTAAGACATATATCGTTACTAATTGACTGCATTCAATACCAAATAGCACATACTTAAGGGTGCTTAAATGTTTTATGATTAATATATTCACTAATTTATTGAACTAAACTATTGTTTTTAATAACTCCCACCTAATGATTGATTAATTTGTTGTATTCAGAACGTCCCCGCTTTACTACTCCTGTCAATATATCTACGTCTATCAATGAGGGATCAAGTCTGTGCATCCGATGTTTAGCAGCTGCAGATCCTATGCCCTACATAACGTGGGTACAAATTATAAAGAACCCAAAAATTATCAGTGAAGGAGTTGGTGAAGCATTTCTCAGATTCGACAACATCACGAGACACCAACTTGGAACATATGAGTGTCAGGCTAAGAATAATCCAAACGAGGATAGTAGTATAGGGGTTGGGGGTCCCAACTCACACACCACCCCGAAATAACCCGCCTTAAAAGCATACGCCCCGGTTTCATTCGGGTTTTGAGAGCAACGTGGCCCGGGGTTATTCCACCAAGAGATTACGGGATCTTCCCGCTATCCACGACCCATTTGAGACCGTGAATACCCAATCCAACGAATGCCATTAAATATGCTAACATATATTATGAAGTGCGAACGATGTGAGAGGGAATTTAAAAGGAAGGCTGACCTAACCAAGCACCTTTCAATGCAAAAGAAGGAATGTAAAAAGTCTTACGAATGTTTATGTGGAAAGGAGTTTGAGACCCGTGTGAGACTGTATTGGCATTGTCAAAGTTGCACATACGACTACGACGACCTCATATAAGGTATAAAATATTTCCTATTATATATGGAGTCACGATCTAATTTCAACACCGTTTCCATACCCGGCGCAGGAGAAGTTGACCTCAGACAGTTTTGGTCTAAGACCAGAGAGAGAAGGAGGAAGATCTTAGCGAAGGGAGTTAAGGAATTG